TATTGTAAATACCACAAATTTGTGACTGTTTGACTGTGATGTTTCAACAGGAGCTCATCTTCATTGCCTAAACTAGAAAAATTACAAATGTCTTGTGTTAACAACCTTCATTACTTTTTGAAGGGAAAGTTCTTGCATTTGAGATTCTGTTCAGTGATGGGCCAGTAGGGAGTTTGAACAATAGGCCCTGCCGGTTTGCCTCTGATTCTGATTATTACTTAGCATTACCTATTTAATTTTTCATGAACTGAGCCACATTCCCATAGTTGGTACCTAGTTCTCTTTATGAAATTGTTTCCAGTATTTGTCTTTAAGTGCCTTTCAGCAGGCTCTCTTAGTTTTAATTGTGTGATCTAAAAATTAATCACACCACTCTATTTACCTATCTGACACTGATGTACAATCTACAGCATGCCTTTAATTTGTTTTGTGTGTGTCATGGATTTCATTTGTCATTACATGAACTTTTCAATTTTCACTATGTGATCAATATTTTAATTAAATTGCTATAAGTTTGTCATTGTTTTCTTTTAACCTTAACATGTCACGCTAGTATGTTGTACTGCATAGCAGTGCACAATCATCAGTTTCTTCATAATTTCATCTTACAACAGAACAATTTAATTCAATTAACTGAAATATATAGAAAAATATAAGTAACCAAGACACATTAAAATTGGTTTTTTGTCTCTGGGCGGATTTGGTGATGGGTAACTGCCAAACAAGACAGTAGTATTTAATTTGTTTCTCATTTTTTTCACATTACAGCCGATGCAGCAGCCACCTATTCAACCTGTAAAACCAACACCCTCAGTGCCTGCCTTGCAGCCTTCCAGTCCTAAATCAACACCTGCATCTACTGCTGCTGTTGCTGCAAAAACGGCCAACAGACAACCTGCGAACCCATCCAGTACGCAGTCAAACAGTAGTTGGTTTGGAGGTCTTTGGAATAAATTGGCCTTAAGACCAAAAAATCAAATGAAGCTTCCCGATGATAAAAATCCTTCAGTAAGTTCACGGTTCAATATTTCTTTAAATTTGAACCTTTTCGCGTCATTTAAACATGACAATTTACTACAAAAATCTAATTTTATTTATTGTTTTCTAATCTATGTAGATTGTATGGGATGATCAAAAGAAGCGATGGATGAATACAGATGCTGACGGGGAAGATGAAAGTGCTAATGTAGCACCACCTCCAAAAATGTCTGAAATGCCTGGCCGATTTTCATCTCCTGGCCCTGTAAGCAGTATACCTGGCTCTACTGCCCCTGTTGCAAATGGGAGTGCAAGTGTTCCATTTAACTCTCCTGTTAGCTCTATCATACCATCATCCGCTCAGAATGAGGGGGACAGTGTAGCAAGCAAGCCCCCAGCAGGTTCCAATATGTTTAAGCTACCTCGAGGGCGAAGTGAGTATGCCTTTTAATAAGTCGTTAAAAAATTAAGCGATACTTTTACATCACTGTACTAAGTAATGTCTATGTCCTACAGGCTTACGAGCAAGTTATGTGGATGTAATGAATCCTGGTGGGGTCAAGGCACCAGTGCCAAGTAGTATGCCTCCACCAAATG